ATTATGTGTTCCTTGATGCTTACTATAATATAATTAGTGTGTAGTGTTACAACAGTTAATTGGTAAGGATTACGTTAACTGGGACATGATCCTTGTCAAAATATAAGTTTCTTTTAAACACCTAATTTCCATCTGTGTTAAAAGTCAGCAATATTCATCTCTTGTTTTGATGCGCATTATGATACGTATAGTTTATGTACTAATCATTATACGAAATAAATGTTAATAATTACAGGTCATGTAATGGACATTATAGGAACTAAATGTTGATAATTACAGTTCATGTAATAGACATCGTACGAACTAAATGTTGACAATTAAAGTTAATGTAATTAACAATATACGAACTAAATGTTAATAATTACATTTCATGTAATGGACATTACACGAACTAAATGTTAATAATTACATTTCATGTAATGGACATTATACGAACTAAATGTTAATAATTACAGTTCATGTAATAGACATTATACGAACTAAATGTTAATAATTATAGTTCATGTAATATAAATTATACGATTTAAATGTTTATAATTACAGTTCATGTGGTAGATAATATACGAACTAAATGTTAATAATTACAGTTCATGTAATATAAATTATATGAACTAAATGTTGCAATGAAACACGTTATTAACAGGTATAGACGCAGGCAAAATTAAAAAAAAATGATTATAGTAATTCGCTTATGCTTTTCGCTTTTCTTTTCGGCCAGGAAAATTTAAAACTGGTTTGGGTTTATATAAACGATAGGCACATATCTATCTGATTTAGAAACTACATGTATAGATCTCTTGCTATGTGGATATATTAATTATTGTTCATTTAGATTCTATAATTATTGCTGTGATTCTTACCTTTGAGTTGTTATTAAAATGTTCAACAAACTAGCTTCTTTTTTGTAAACTATATCTTTCTGTTCATTTTCATGTGCATTTCGAGATTGTATTAACCAGCTGGAATCAAAATAGCCCTAGCTCATTTTTATCATCAATGACGTGTAACGACACTTTGCTCTGAAATTAAGCAACATACGAAGAAAACAAAAATTAAAACCGAAACAAAACATAAAACACACACACATCAAGTTTAGTAAAATTAAACAAATAATTTATTTCCAAAGAATACAAAATTTACTCTTGTTAGTAACTTGCAGTATTGTGAATTAATTCCCTTTTAGTTATGCAAGTTCTATCACAAGTTCAGAAGTATACAGTGCTAGGATTTAATACCATTCCATGAATGTGCTAACGTACTATTAGTTTTGAGTCTGCCGATGTTCCAATGGTATTCAAGCTTTACTACTATAAGTTAGACATCTTCGAGTAAATGTATAATTATCTCAAAATAGTGTTTTAGTCCAAACATTTAATGAGTTCTTTGTAATTCCAACGAATAATTAAGATAAATGATATCTCTCAATTTATACATGAACACAACTATAAAGATGTTATTTAGATAGGAATAACTAGTTGTGTACTTCCTGTTCGTTTTATACAGCCTGTCCATTGACTTATGACACAGCACAATGCCTTGGACCTAAGTTGCTTTCTGTAGAGTTTTCCATCAAATTGGTGAACAAGGTATGGTCGGTTTATTTACATCTTAGAATAAGGCTTGATAAGGGGAACAATTTGTTTTCAAGGGAAAAACAATATTCAGAACTTAAATCAAAATAAAATGTTTCATACAAACAACTGTTATTATAAAATATTATTTCCAGTTATGGACAAAACTTAGCTATGTAATATGCTGCTTAGAAAACTTTGCCATAATTTGTAGTAATGAACAAATTTTACATACACAGTACAGATATGACTGATAGAGGTAGATAATATTTATTTGATTTCATCCGACATGATGTAATGCTGAATGATACAATCTGCTTGCATCAGCGTGGATAGTCTACCAGGTAAGTCATCTTTTGGATTAGTAAAATGCATTCCATTTTCAGGAGGCGGTGACTCACTTGTCATTTGAGAAGCGTGGCTTGGCTCCCCATTATATTACGCACTTTCTTTGAATTATTTCCTTCCAATATGAAATATAATGACAGTCATGTAAATTGCCATACACCTGTTGCTGATGGCGAGCCAGCGTTAAACATCATTAACTTTCTCAGTATATGAACAGTGATAGCAGTGCTTAATGTAGCATTGTAAACTGCCTTGATAACACTTCTACATTCGCCCAATATATTGTTATTTATGCAGGGAAGTAATAAATGTTACTTATCTTTACAATAGACATAAATTTCTGCAACAATAGATGTCTAAGTTTAACATCGATTTGTCATGCGTCATTTACATTTTCTGATGAAAATGTACGTGATGCTAGGCAGTTAATTGCGTAACAGACACTGTAAATGGTGTTATTAACTTTGTAATTTCTTCAGTCTCCATTGTTATTGTAGACCAGCTTTAAACCTTTATTTATTAAAATAAGGTTGCATGCACCTGTGATAACAAATTACATGTTAAAAAAGTTGATATTGTGTCTGCTCCGTTCGACTTGCTACTAGTTACTACCTGTAAACTTTAATCAAATGCATAATAAACTTAAATTATGTCTGGTTTTGAGTTGTACAAAAAGATGCTATTATCTAGTTTATGTCTATCGTTGACTTATTAGTTCCATATCATTCATCTCTTTGTTGACGTATTTAAGCAAACCTTGCAATCAACATTACAAGGTTGCCAAGAAATCTACTCCACCACATATAAGATTGGGATAGTTACATTTATGTGGTGTTATTACATTTTAAGTGCAGTTCCTGCAAACCTTTTGTTTAAATGGAATGTTCAGCTTTTGCTTTCCGATATTGCAAGCAACTTTCCTTTAATGTGGTTCTTTTGTGTTTTGTTAATAAGCTTTCTCTTGTTGACTGTCAATATTGTTTTCCTCCTGTTTTTCTCTTGCTCAACGTTTATTTATTTTGAAATAAAATTTGGGAAAAAGGATGAATACGATTTTAAGATAAACCCAAGAGTAATGGCAGGTATTTTACCAGTGTAGGTAATTAAATTACTTTGAAAGAGAACTTAATAAATAAAAAGATCTTTTTCTAAATGAAGTCCTGCCAGTTAAAAATAGGAAACGTTTCCCGAGTGTTATAAAATAGCAGTCATTGCAAACCTTGATAAATCTTTGATTAAATGTCAAGTTAGCAAGAGACATTAAAACAGAAAACACAATTCAACAGATGGCAGTTAGAGAGAATGAGCACAGTACAATAAAACTGAGACATGAAGCCAAAAGCACTATGCCGAGTTCTTTATACACAGCTACCACAATGCAGCAAAAACGTAAATCCAAGCTCTAAAAGCAAATATGAGATATAACTTTGAAGATCCTACGAAAGCCATTATTTGCGATTCACAAATTATGACTGAACAATATTAACCTGAATGATTAATTTGTTACAAACCTCGCGTTATTCATTTCTGTTGTACATTTGAATGATCAAGACATCTTCAGAAGAGGCAATATTGCTATTAATGAAATATGTTCGTGTCACAATAGTATGGATATATGAAACAATGGAATGTGTATGAGACGATATAATAACGAATTAAATTACACTGTAAATTTGATTTAGTTAAATCTTGGAATTTATTCTCACTCATATTTCTCATATTGCTATTTTTGTTAGTGATTTATGAATATAATTTCCCTAACTTATATCTGCAGTGGAGTTTGGAGAATTTAATAATATAATGCTATGAACTTTACTTTAGAGTTGAATAATTTCTGTACCTTTGGTAAATAACAGCCAGTGGCATTCTAACATTGGATAAATTTAAATAGCTTGATTGAGTTGGTTAAATTAGCAATTATTCCATTACCCTGGTTGAGAATGTAAATTATGAGCAAACATCTGTATTGTTGAATGGAATACTCTATATAGTGATAGGGTTACAACACCCAAACACAAGACAAAATGTAATGTAAATTTCTATATAATCTAATTCTTGAAGTATCGATGATTCAATAGCGTCTCCCTCCCTCCCTCCCTCTCTCTCTCTCTCTCTCTCTCTCTCTCTCTCTCTCTCTCTCTCTCTCTCTCTCTCTCTCTGATAAACTGGTCAACTAGTCGTTGTTTGACCAAAAGATAATAAAACTTGGAAAACCAGGACACGCTTTGACATAAGCTACAAGAGATGAATTATACATACGGAAAGCACTTGAGCTGCAGGTACAATATGCAGAGGATATCATCCATTTATTAGTAACGTAAAAAAATAAATCAGTTATTTAATGAATATGTTGTTTATAAATAATATATTGTCTTTTGCTAATCAACCTTAGTATTTTTTATCCAAAATGGCAATGGAGCTGAACATATGTAATCACGACATTAAGGTACCTACTCATCTAACCGAATATTTTCTTTGAATACAGTTACGCTACTTGCCGTATCAATGGATGGTTATTTACTTTATATTTATGGTAAGGGTGCAGCAAAGGAAATCACAGATGCCCCGTAAAGTATATAATAAACAGTTGACTGTGATTATATACATCGAAGACCATCAATAAGCAAGCGTTTATTTTATATTTGTTATTTTTTCAGTGTTGCATTTTTAAGAATGTATAAATTCCACATACGTTCTTAGAGCTGTCTTAATAGTACGATATTATTTGCTAGTTTCAGCAGAAAAATATGGCGGAGGTGGACGAGCATCTTATCTATGAAATTTAGTACCTAATAAAATCATGCAATATAATGGAGTCTGCGATTTTGGAAGGGGGCATGGGCTATTTAACTGTGTGGTGTTTATAATTTTTAATGTAGTTTTTCAGTCATATCGCTACGATGTCTGCAGTGTGGCATTTTATAGTGATGTCTAGCACTGGGACATCATGATGCAGACATTTAGCATGATATACCACCCAGTTACATTATCCTGACACAAGGCCAACCAGTCCTAACACTAACCTCTTAATGCTGAGCGTCAAGCGAGGCAGCTGTTAGTACCATTTTTGTAAGTCTTTGGTGTAACTCGACCGGAGATAGAACCCACGACCTCCCGCATCCGAGGCGGACGCTCTAACCACTCGGCCACCGGAGCGGGCTATTTAATAGTTGAGAATATTGTCAAGTAATAAGCTGATAAATACGCCCCAAAATTGACGGGTCTTTCAATAGTTGATAGCTTAGGATATTGTTATAGATTATTATTTTAAATTAATACCTGACCCCTTTGATTCCATTATTTCTGCAAGGTCGACATTTCACGCTTAAACGTTACACTATTTAAATTAAAACTCTTGGTCATAAGCTGTAATACACTGTTGACGTACATGAAAGAATCACACATAACGTTCTAATACATACACACTGTTTGTTTTTCAATTATGTTTATGTCATTGCTATTTAGGTATTTTAAATTGTCTTTTGCTGGCTAGCACTCTGTCAGAGTGATACAAAACGCGCACTCCAACACTAATGAAACTCTCCTTTCTGAGCGTGTATGAGTTTGCTTTTGTAATGAATCCCTAAATTAGCATGAAACATATAGCATAAGGTTTCACTGGGTGATTTTGTTTGTGACTTAATGAAGACTCTTCTATGAATTGAACATTAATGTAGGGTCTATCCAGCATCCACTTACTTCCATTACGTAAGGCTAAACGGACTGAAAAAGTAACACGTACTGCATGCAACGAAAATGAAAAGGAAGTGCTTAATACTTGATGTACATACTTAACTTGACAAGACCTAATCTACAAAATAGTCAAATATAGTCAGATTAGCATAGCATTACTTGAACAAATTGTACACCTACTCTGGGTACCCTATCCATCACCAAATTTTAACATGTATCCTTATCATTGCTCTCCAAGCACTTCCTCTCTACATTAATCATCAAGTAATCATATGCTAGTAGAACGATCTTTAACGTGAACCTCAAACTCAGAATTGTTCATATACGGAACGACACTTAGCTGCCCAGACGTACTACCACATGGATTCATTGATTTGTGCTACAGCATTTGGCATGATAACGGACCATTATAGTCTGGTAATTCTATTTAATTAGTGAATCATTTAACTTTACATTTTGTGAGCCGGTAGGATTTATAATATCGATTTAATTAAGAAGGCAGGTAACGTCTTTCATATCTCTACTTATAACTTTCTACATGATGTATTGTTCCCGTAAATTAAAACACTACACACTAATTATCTTATAGTAAGCATCAAAGAACACATAATTATATAAAAGTTAGATGTATGACTTCTACATCAAAATTACTTTTTATTCTCCCCAAGAATTAAATATATGTTAATGCTTCTTTACTGAAATAGAGTACTGTTTCTTGTTAAGGTGGTCCTTATATGAAAAAGCAAGAACACATAGATTTATCCAGACACACTTCAGCATTGAATTTATCGTTGAAAATAATGTTCATGCATAACATAACGTAGAAAAGAACTATATAAATAGAGCACACTAAAGTAATTGTCTAACGTCTTTGGCTTGTTTGCACTGAAATGCACCACCTACGATCCGTAGTTAATATAATATTGTTTGCCCTTAAACGACATCCAAGTGCACGAGAATCTGAACAGCGCTAATGGAAATAAAACATAACTTCTCTGGTGTTTATGTAAATGAGAACTTTATGTATTTTGTTAAAATATTCTAAATTAGTTAGTTCCTTCGGAATAATAAGATTAGAATGCAACCAACAAGTGTATTATTCATTTGTAAACTTGGTTTGATCATTATACTCTAGACCTTACTGATGAAATAAAGGATTATTTCTGAGAAGGCTGATATTATTGATCAGCAAAAAAATTTTTATAGATTTTTATTGATAAAACTAAACGTAAGGTACGAACGCAAAATATTGCACCTACCAAGTATCATTTAAAAAAGAAGAAAACTTACAAGTTGACGTTTTTTATTATTGGCAGAGATTTTGGGACAATTTCTTTGGTTTAAGTATATGTAGATTGACATTGGTGCCTAACATATACTAGTTTGCTTTACAGTAGTACAGTAGGGATATTTGGCATTTCCACTCGCTTTCAATAGCGAACATATTATTCACACCCTGCACGTATTGCATGAAGGCACTATTTAAATTTAGCAAGTGGATACACTGTTTCTCATATAATTTATGAATTTTGGATCAATAGTTTGCATATTAAATTATACTGAATATAAATGTGGATTGATGCTTACCTGGCATTGAATAGTTTAAGATAAAATCGTCATTATTCTGTGTGGTTATTAAATTGACGAGTTTTGTATGTGTCCTTAAAACAAACAATCTGTAACTGATCTTACTCAATAGACAGATAATTTCATCAAGAATTTCCTTATCGACAGACGCGGTGAGCTTTTCTTCGTTAACAAAATAATAATTAGACTATTGTATCCAGAAGGTATGTTTCCCTCCTTTGTTTAAACAGAACATAGACGAATACTCACTGTCTTTGGAGGCTACAGTCTATGGCCGCTAGCAAGTCATTTCAATTGACTGGAAGCTAACGCTAGATTTTTCCATCCATGTCATTTGTCATTACCTTCCTCTTAATAAAGTTTGGTCGCCGTTACAATGGCTTTCTACCAGATAAAGTCTCTTGATATGAACCGGAAGAGGTCAATTATCATTTGTTGTTCTGTACCTAGATCGTTATTGAAAAAATGTATCATTCATTCTCATCCTAACTACACTGATAGTGCAATTTAATAATAATGAAGAAGTCATTTTCATACATTTGTTCCCAATTATTTCCCTTCCTGTTAATAAATGTGATATATACTTGTCCGTAATTTCAGAACCCTGCACATAGATAACGACAGAGAGAAATCATTTCCTATCAGAGAGAGAGAGAAACATAACCCAAAACATACATCATAACTACTCATACATTCCACATAACCCTCACATGCAGTTTAATGACATATCAATCATTTTACATTTGTTCCTTCCAGCTGTGAGTTGTAAAAACTTATAATTAAAACGTTTCAAAACACTCCATCAAAACATTGTTATTAGCATCAGTGATTGGGGTATCCGTGGAAAAACTTTCACAAAATCTCACATGTACAAAATGTGTAGAGAGCGCACTAAATATTAAGTAGTGCTTTGTCATGAATAACTGTTTAGAAGGATTTATATTTATATATCCCATACTCTAAAACAATATATAAATGATTCCCATTGTCCTTTCTTGAGGATAGGTGTACGTCAATTTATCATCATAACCTAGAATGTTTCGACAAAATCACACCATGGAAATCATCTATACATATAAGAATTGTTGATTTTCAATTTTAGGCATGTGGTGTTTGCTTGCTTCTAATTTATAAAGGAGAAAATATTTTTGTAAATGCACATAAAGGTAAACTTCGATATATAAATCACCATATCTGAATGTAATTATTGATATCTGCGCAATGTTTTTAATGGTCTAAATAATTTAATTTGTTTAGCTACATTTTTCATATAACATATTTTTCTACATATCACAATATACATGGAATTGATACTAAGTTAATATAATCACATAAGTTTTCTATCAAAATTAAGTGCAATAGTTCACCTATATATGTATTTCAACCGGCTCAATGAAATTTTCTGATATATGTGAAATACATATTTTTAATATTTTGGTACAATTATTGAAGGAGAATACATATGACATAAAAATACATAAGACAGCATATATTGCAAGGAAATATAACCCGGAAATGGAAGTAAATGATGTGCTGAGCATATGACCAGATTCTAAATTGTAGAAAGAACACTGTAAAGTACAACCATCCTAGGGACCTCACGTTTCTTTAAATCCTCTGAACATTTAATTTCAAAACTTTATAAAAGATGAAATACACATTTGAATAATAACTACTTAACCAAAATCAAAGTGAAGAATTACCGAATCAGTCAGATTTGGGCAATTAGTATGCAGCTTTGAGAGGAGAGCAGACAACGTGAATATTTGACTTCTACCAATTGGGGAAAATATAATTTATTTTGTATAGTGCGAGTAATGTATACCCTAAAGGTATTGCATTACGTTACCTACCACTGCCAAATCCGGATGAGTCAGATATCAAATCAGGGTTAAGGCTATGAGTTGGAATTATGTACACAGCATGTAAAACTGTAGTACAGCTTAAACCCATGGAGATCGCTGCAAAAGGCATGCGCTGTGAATTATTTCCAAAGCATCTATCAGTTCTTTTGATTGTGAAGTTGAAATTGTGTTCCGATTCAGAGAAACCTCAGCTGACAAGAAGTAACTATCGATAATATACGCAAATCAGGTGAAGCAAAAAGCGACACAAATTCTGTTCCTGCCGATGGCCAAGTCGATCCAAAATTCCGAGATGGCATCACCTAAGGACTGACAAACATCTGAGCGAAGAAGCCTTTTCTAAAATGAATCATCAAGGTCAAGGACTGACATACATAACAGAGCGAAGAGGCCTTCGCTGAAATGAATCATCAAGATCAAGGATGGCAACCATATAAAATAGTTAAATATAAATAACAAATCTATAGTGACACAAATATAAATTGACAGTCTGATACATGTCGTGCTAATAAAAATGCAGCAAAGCAAGGAAACATTACCCCTACCCTTCGTACGTTCCGTAGCAGAAATGAGAAAAGGAGGACCGAATAGAAAGACAGTTAGCTTGCATGCATATATATATATATATATATATATATATATATATATATATATATATATATATATATATATATATATATATATATATATGTGTGCGTGTATATTCATACATACATACATACATACATACATACATACATACATACATACATACATACATACATACATACATACATACATACATACATACATACATACATACATACATACATACATACATACATACATACATACATATACATACATACATACCTACCTACCTACCTACCTACCTACCTACCTACCTACCTACCTACCTACCTACCTACCTGCCTACCTACATACATACATACATACATACATACATACATACATACATACATACATACATACATACATACATACATACACACATACATGCGTACATACATA